GGTAGATTCGTTGCTGCAATTGTGTATTCTCTCATTCCTACAGGTTTTGTCGCGTGCGGTGCAAGACGTTCTCTCCTCATACAAAACAAATGAAGGTCTTTGTTCGAAGCCACAAAGACGTCTTGTGTTCGCCGCAGAATGCCCTGCGGGAGGCGCTGCAGAACCCCAGCGCGGTCCGGTCCAGGCACAAAGCGCCTCGGAGGCTGAAGGAGATTTACAGTCTCAGTTGTCGTAATCACAGAATAACAACTGCTGCATACACCTTCCGAAAAAAAACACCCCGTACACATGGAATGAATTACATTCTGCACTGGAAAAAATGCAATTTTATTTCGTTTATTCATGTAGTTTGAAGAAAACAGAGACCAAAAATGTATAAAAATAGATAAATAATTTTAAAATTGAAAATGAATTTTTCTTTGATATAGTATAATAGAATACTGCCCAATTCCTCACTCACAATTTTAACAATCGCATACCAATTTAATTCATTTTTACCGTGAGAGCACAGTTGTGGGGGAGGGGGCGGTCAACAGCGGACTCCAGAAGAAATTGAAATATTACTGAAGGAAACATTTCTATTGTTGAAACCAATATTGTTGGTTAGCAATATTCTAAACATTACAAAAATTTCTTCATGTTTCTTGTAAATATTTACCGCTTTTTATTGATTGATTGGTGATTCCGGGCACAACTGTCCGAAGTCATTAGTCCCGTAAGTTTAGTGCATATATCGTCCTAAAGAAGTGTCAGAAGTGTCCAGCTGGGGAGTGAGATTTGGCGCCAACCTACCATCGGTTAATGGTGCATCTCCCACCAGCTGGGCATCACCTTTTCTGGGACACGCTCGAAGCTCTCCATCGGTCTCTCGACTCTTGCGGCCGCGTGGGATAGCTGTAATAATAGCTATGTTAGTGTAAATGTGTAAGTGAAGCGTAAGAATAGGAGAAAGTAGAGAAAGGAAAGATCGCGTGCGGTCCGTAGGCCATTTGTTAGGGTACTCTTCCGGCATTCGCCTGGTGTTGATCGGAGAAACCGCGGAAAATTGACGATCAGAGCAGCTGGCCACTAGAATTCTCTCCCAGACAGCGACTAAATTCGACGTAGCTATTTTGCTAGTGTCGAAAATCCTGCCACCGGGTCATCGGGACTCGAACATGGAACCTCTCAGTCATAGACACTGAAGTGGCATCATTTGATACCCTGAGCCACCTCGCCCGTTTACAATTTTAGAGGTAGGACAAGGACATATATTATATATATAATATATATGAATATAT